AGAACCTACAGTATGCAAGGCGCGGACAACGTACACCATAAACACAGTGCACGCGCTGCCGTCGCCGCCACCGCCGCCGCCGCAGCCACAGCCGCTGAAGAATCGAGAGAGGGTTAAGCTCGCGAGGCGAGCATCTGCCGACGCAGTATTTTACCCGGCGTAAACGGGCAGCGACCGCTCGACCACGAAACCACCTCGCATCCTCGATATATATCTGATTGGCGAGATTTAACGAGGAGACCCGCGGCCCGGATAAGATTCATGGAGGAGATCTGGACGCGCAAGAGAGATGGAGCACCTTCACGCCGTGAATAACGAGCAACGTGAGCAGGGCGTGGCCCTTTCCGATCCTTGGACCCCGAAGACCTTATCGGCGGTCTACGCTGGACGGGGGGAATTTAGGCGCTATTTCCTTTCGCGTGCGACTGAATTCAGTTAACGTAAATCATAAATCGCGCAAGAAAATTTATTCTTGCTTGACTTTAGAGAAATCTTTGCGTCTCAAAATATTATAACTGATTATGTCAATTGTAGTTATCAATCGAGAACGGCTTAGAAAGCGTGAGAGTGGTTTTATATAAAGTCGCGTGAAGTTTAGAGAAGTCAAGATTATTGCGCACATGTTTGTTTACACATATAGGTCTTGCGAATTCTCATAAGGCGGGATTGTTAGCTGTCTGGGTCAGGAAACAGCGCCTGAATATTTATGGTAACATCATGACTTGAGAAGGGTAACGTAGTACGAGATGCCGTGAAATTTCATATTGCCGATGAGATAGTTCCCTATGAAATTGCTTGAATGGTCCCGTCGAGGCCGCCTCGTAATTTCAGGGCGCGCAGCATATAATAAGTCGTGCCGGAGCGTGTTATGTTTCGCTTGGAATAATGAGAACCGGGGTTGTTAACCAATTGCTAAAAAGCACGCAGTCAAATCATGATACTTCCGACATGAATATTAAAAGCAACATCGCCATGCAACTTAAGCACATTACGTAATTTCAACCGAAATGTGCGAGAAAGATATTCTCTTGAAATAAGTACGAAATCTCAAACGTGCTGAACGTAAACGACTGGCAATGGAGTTCATTAAACGAGCTGTAGAATCTTAAAAGAAGCATTACCGAGAGCACAAAATAAACGCCGTTGTAAAAACCGTGTTACGTAAGTATCCATGAATCTGGAGTACGAAACAAATTTACCGTTTCCACCAGATTTATTGACCTCCGCTAGCCCATTCCACTTTATCTTATAAACCTTATTTAGGATTAATGACGTGGGAACGAACCGCCGCGAAGATCGATAGTGCCCAACACTTCGCTATAGCCTCGTATTTCTTCGACTGACAAACAGTTATTTTTCTTGGTGAATCATTTTCGATATCTCTCTATATATAAACAAATTTGTTTTGTCGTTGAAACTGCTGTTTGAAGAGATTAGCGATGTAATTGTTTATTATCTCGTACAAATAAATCGTCTGTTAAATGGACAAACGGGAATACGGAGAGCGCGCAATGCGGAGAATGACGATTATCAATCGAGGAAATCACGAGCCCTTTGGCTTCGGAATGCTATTGCGGGAAACAAAGTCTCCGCAGAAACTTTAATTCATTCCTCGCTTACGATAGACAGAGCCGTGTCTCTCTGCGGGATATCAAAGATTTCCGATGGTGGAGATACGGAATATTAAAAACGTTTGTCTCATGTGCATCCGCTTCGATATACAACGACATTGTTCGTGCACGGCTTATAAGATGAAAACTTGAGATTAGACGTTCGCCGAAGTTGCATAAGTTACTGCTAAAATTTATCCTAAGATAGTATGTTTAAATTAAAGCTAACAGAGTTAATAATTGTAGTTGAGAGTTACAGTAATCCTTTTTTCATGCAATTATTAGCGATTTAGGAACAGCGAAATGGCTTTGATATTAAGCTGAAGCCAACGCAGATCGATATTTCAGTGATCCTCAACGAGATTATTTATAAAAAGGGGATATATTTGTATAATTAATACTAATTTCTTTTAATAAATATCGAACTTGTAAATTTACCGCTTAGCAGAAATATTTTTTTAATATTTTAAACATAATCAAAAGTATTTTCAGTAATTGCGTAATGCATTGTTATTAAATTTTTTAAGTATAAAAATATAAAATCGAGTAAAGTCTATAAAAGATAAAAAACGGTGATAGTTTTTGCGGATTCAAGTGTTCCGCAGTGGTGCAGCAATTTTAAAGATGAATAGAAAACGAACCACAGGCTCGCCGATTATGAACATATGTTAATGATGATAATATAAAACGTGTGAATAATTTGTTTCGAGCCAATAGATATATTACGGTTCGTGAAATTACAAAAAATTATAGAATTAACAGTATTAAAAGTATTATAGAATTAAAAGTACTAAAATGATTATTATTAATAAAGAATCAAATTAGTATTGACAATTTTAAACGAAGTGAATGCTCAATTAGTGCCACAAATACAAATAAAACTTTATGTGTAAAAGAGTAACTACAATTCTTGGATTGCTATCTAAACGAGGGAAACGTGTTTTTCAAGTCTATCGTGAATACGAATAAAATTGAAGATCATTTCATTCCGCAATCAGAACGACTGTCAAAGAAATGTCAATTTGCAAAATTAATTGTGCATGCAGCCAAAAAGCTTCTTCGAAGAAGGTATAACAAAATTTCCTCACATTTGAGATAAACGCTTCTCATTTCAGAATGTATACAGAGAATAATAACGTATGTTGTATTCAGCATAAAACCTTGTAGAGAAAAGAAATGAGTCTGTAATATTTGAACGCCCTATAATATTCTACCATTTTGGGAAGTGACTGAGTTCTTAAAGACACTAAATGTCTCTGCTCTCTTAGGGACGTAGACGCGTCCCTCGTCCTTAACAAATACCAGACCATCTTAATGAGTTCACAGTTTTCCCCGTATATTCCCCACTTGCTCCTCTCGCTCTTGCGCTTTCATCATTCGAAGAGTGAAGAATCCACTTCGCATCGCGCAGTACCTGCATCGTCATCATCGTCAGTCGCGATAATGAGGACATCGTGTGCCGTTAACAAGACGCCGTCACATCTCGCTGTTCTCCACCCTTCGTACCCTCTCTCCTGCGACGCAGGAATGTCATAACGCGGCAAGCTTACGAATGTGCTTAGCTGACGCCGCATTCTTGCTGGCGCGAGGCGTCAGAATCGTGCGCGTCGTTTTGCGACAGCGAGCTCCTTCTTCGCAGTCGACAGCTTACAACGACCTTAAGAAAACGTACCGGAAAGGCGACGCGAACTGCACGAGACAGCGCGAACTATTTCTCGAGGTTGTGACCGCAATTCGTGAGCGCAATTCGTGAGGACGGCTCGTTAAGTTGCCGCGAAGGATCAAGAAAACTCGCATCAAAGTACAGTTGAGAAATTACAAAAGCTTTGTTTGTTAAAAGTTTTCAACCGCTTTTAATTGGAATCTATTAATTTATTCGTTTAACATATCCCACCAATCAAGCATTTGCAAACTCAACGTTGAACCGGTTAAGAAATGACATCGAGAAGATGAACAAGAAGAGACATAGAAGCGACGAGACAACAGCGCAAGATTTATAGTAAACCACGTTTCAGTTTTTTCCATCCATTGAGACCGCTTCAGCGTATACAAGAGGTACACAATGCTATCTTCTACTCTGCATATTAACCGATCGAATATTTGTAAAAATATATATACCTCCATTGGCGTATCTCATCGACCACAAAGTGAAAATACATTTGACAAAGGTGCGATTACATAGAGGCAAACGAATGACAGCTGTAATATCAAACAGTCTCATAACTGGCGGTACCGTATTAACATATTAATATGTATCCGCGTGCAACGCATCAGTATGCATGTAAGCCGATGTTCGCCGGGGCTTCGTCGTCCGGCTTAAACGGAGGGTGATCCCGGGGGCACCATGGGCAGACGATCGGAGGGGAACAAAGAGGGAGAGAGACGGGAGAAGAAGAGAGTATCGTAATACTCGTGAGCCTCGGGACACATTAAGAGGATCATATCGTTCGCGTTCAAGATACGCAAGACATTTCGGTTTGATCCGAAACGCGATGAGCCCCGTGACGTATCCGTGAGACCAGACGCGCTTACAGGTCAGATTAGAGGGTATAGTCTCACGCGTACGTCCAGACGGCAGCTCGTCGCTTTTAATGCGATAAAGGTGTTCGTGCCCTCCGGGTATATTACTCCGTTGAACTCTGCCCGAGTGGAGACGGGCATTACATGTAACTCTTTTTCCTTCGAGCCTCTCGAGACCGCTTTCATTTAACAATAAGTCATGAAGTCGGCTAAAAGGTGACATCGCCGCTCGAGAGTGTCCACTAACGAATACGATACATTTTCTGACATTATTATATTTCCCTTGTCTTACGTCAGTTCCGAGGAAGATTTTAACGTGTTACGTTGATAATTTATTCCATTAATCTTTTAAAACGGGCGAAAATAGAAGAGTTTGCGACGTATTATATATAACTATATAAAAAAAGTAAGTGTGTGTCAGATTCTCGATAATTATGTTAAGATCAAATTTTCTTGCTGTGTCAGCGAGAGATAAGAGTAACATAATAATCATGTTTCATACAGATGGTTTTGATTAAAGGCAAATATTTACAGAGAGATTCATATTTAATAGTATTGACTCAGTAATTGATGTATCTCGCGTTATAAAGAATCCAAATGTAAAAATGTTAAATGCAAAAGCTATTTTTTATTAATGTGTATAAATTGTATCAAATTGAAACCAATATTGCTGCTACTCATTGACATTTGCGCTCACTCATGAATATTCAATCAAGTGTCCGATTATCAATTGGTCTAAATTGATGAATTATTTCATGCTTTCGCGTGAAACTTTTATAAAATATATTTATCACGGTCTTAAAGAACGAAAAAAGAGATGCTGATAACAAGTAATATGTATTTCTAAAAAATAATTATTAGAACTGATTAGATTTTATATATTTTTATTCTAGTCACAATTTATAATTCACACATTTTTTCCATCGATGCGTGTTATACGTGTATTGCGTTATACATATGTATATTAAGATAGTATTATCTTGAGAGGGTATATCAGTGTTTTCGAGATTTCACAAGAATATTTGACCAGCATTTGTTAGACGCAATCTAATATTAGCATGTTTATATGTATTATATATTGCATTATTCATCGCTGCAATATTATATATTCAAATATATTCATTATAAACTCATATTTGTTTGTCATTTCGCGTTGCGTTTTGTTTTGTCATATTTGACAAGTTGTTATAATCATTTGTAATAACCCAGCGCTTTCTTCTCTTGCTGGAAACCACAGGAACCGGGGCAAAGAATGTCTGTGATGATGAACTAGGTCTTTGATCACCGCCTTGAACAGCGGGAGCCATAGTAGTAGTAGTAGTAGTAGTTGTGTAACAATTTTGGAAAAAGTGGCTCAATAACGGACAATGAGCGAGAAGATCCCCCCAAAATCCTGGTGTAGAGTTCTATGGATAAAAATAAGATACATGCACAACATACGACGCAATATAACATTAAATATTTAAAACAAATATTACTCGAAACTGATTGAATGAACGCAACAATGAGCTACAGCTAATGGATGTGAGGAAAGTAATAGACGAAAACGATCTTTCAATATCAACGTACACGAAGACACAAACATCCATGACCAAATATCTATGTTATCGACATTTTCACCGTAAATTTTCAAAAGAAATTCCTAATAATGGAAGGATTCGAAGGAAGAAGATGTATGCTTCAAAGAGTTAAATAAAATTTATAGTAATTTACTATTGCACCTGTAAGTGGACATTGAAGATTTAAATACTTACAGCCTCATTGATCATGGCGCAAGCCACGGCAACGAGTAGATACAAGTATACGGCACGCATGTTTAGATTTGCTTCTGCCCTTAGTTCGATTTCTGGCACTGTGGTGCAGGTTTATGATGCCGGAGCATTTTTATACCGAGCTTATGAATATTGACCTATTTCGCACCATTGATATCGGATAATACGCTGTTGTATTGCCACTTGTCTCGCAGTTATGCTTTGTGGCAATTAGGTACTGACAATTCTATGAAAGATCGAACTATTATATACGTTTACAAGTGTGCAGCGTCGGTGGCAAAATTGTCTCGTATTCATAAAGACGTCGAACTAACACATATACGCGCTTAAGTGTAGCTGTATAAAGTACAGATCAAACAGACACAAAGCGCGCCCTTCACCTATAAAATTACAGGCGTTCTTTCCGTTTCAAACTGTTGCTCGTATTCAGATGAATAGCCTAGCATATTTATACCAGGATGAATAATATTTTGCATCAATATTATTCGTCGAAATATCGTTTTTCTCTCACGCGATCAATTGTTTAATCATCGAGGGGAAGTATGTTCTTTAACGTATAGAATAGGGGAAATAATATCGAATCATTTTGTAAAATCCATTATTATATTTTACGTTAACGTCACATTTTGTATACGTTCAATTATACGTTCGATTAATGTGAATTTCCTTATTAGAGAAAATGACTAGAGGAAATCGACCATCGACAATGCAACTTACATTTATATAAGGGATACTTTGTTACGCGAATAATAACATTTCTTTATGACATAACGGATTTAAATGTCAGGGCTGTAATGAATCACGTTTAATTATGGGACATTTTAGATGTAAACGCGCAACTTCTCGATAACTCAGCTACTGCATACAAATTACCGACGTCTTTCTTCTCCCACGAATCAAGCGGAAGAAAGAGATCCTCGATCATCCATCATCGTTAGCATTTCATTCAGTGACAGTCGGTCGAGCGACCGCTGCCGTTGACTATGAAAGCTGTGTAAACTTGCCGAACAAACAAACGTTTTATGGTTGTTCAATAGCGCCATCGTCTCCGTAATGTCGTGACGCATACGTTTCCCAGCGCGAAAGATAAAGTGCATATATTTTACGGAGCAGCGACTGCATTTTTCATTCTCCAAGAAAAAAAATCGATATTGAGTCTTCATCAGGATAGCTCTCCTTGGTATGCTCGCTCTTTCTCTCTTTCTCTCTCTAACATAATCTAATATTCTTTCGCCAGAGAAAAGTTCCAGGCAGCTCTAGTGGCAGCCTTTACATATATTCAACGTCCCGCTGTGGTCCCGAGAACATGATAATAATGTATTACTTAATCACGATAATACCCATCGGACCACGTATCGCTTCGATAAATGAAATTGCTGATCATGTCCTCAGAATTTGAATAAACGAGAGAAATGTTTCTTCTTAAAATCTAAAACCGAAATACGAAGCTAAGGATTCAGCAAGCGTCTCTTAAGACATTTCCTTTTCATTGGACAGTTTCCACACACTCGTGGAGGAAATTTACCGCGTGACCGTCAATTTCAGCTTCGCGTATCGGCTCGCTTATCAAAGTATAGATAGCACCTCGTAGCATCGGAAATAGATAGAAAATGGTCGGCCAATATTTACTACGAACGCTTTGACTACCGTTCCAGTCGTGCCAGCGGCATTTCGCGAATCGATTCGTCTCGATCGGGACTCCCGTATTCTACCGAGGAGGAGAATTTCACCGGAAGCGATGTACAATCGTCGCGACGCCGGCGGGTCGTGTGCCGCGTCGTCGGGGGCGGGAGGGAGAGACGGAGAGAGGCGTCGCGGGGCGTCGGTGGATGGAGAAGAGCGGTAGACGCTCGCGACGACATGGAAGGTGAATTTGGGCGCGGGAGAGATCACGAGCGGAGTGAAAAATGAAGGTACGAAACGGGGAATCGCACGGGGGGGAAGCTTGACGCATTGCGGCGGGGAAATATGGGTCGTCCCGATTATGTCGGGACGAGCACCGCGCCGGAATCTGACAGTGGCAGAGTGACGCCGCAAAACCTCATACATCTCGTGTATAACTAATGTCCGCATATATCACCTCTTCGTCTCCTGTGTGTATTTCCTCTTTCTCCTCTCTCTTTTTTTTATCTCGCGGAGCAATGCACGCCACGCGTGCGCTCCTCGTGCGTTCGAGCGCGATGGAACCTGTCCGTTTCATTTAAATGCAACGCGGAAAATGCGCGCGCCGTGCGCTCCAGCACGCTTCGGGCGCTATAGACTTCACGGAAGATAGAGCGCGAGATGATACATTACCCTCTGGCCCGCTTCGCTTCCCCGATCGCACGCTCCGTGTCATTGTTTGAAAATCGCTTCCTCCTATTTGCAAATTAGTCGTACTCCCGGATATTTATAGGTGGCCCGAGCTCGAAACGATTTCTTTGAAAACTCATGCCGGCAGCTGGCGTGAGAAATAATTAGTGCATTAAAAGCTACCGTGACTTTCCTCTACGTTTTCTGCTTCCCACGATGTTGTTTCCCATTATTTATCATGTGATAATCCACTGACTGACTTTTTAGAGAGTAATGAGAGGAAATATGTAGAAACATATAAAGAAATTTGGAAAGAAGTATATAAAGAAAATTGGCGTAGTTTTCTTCATTTTATTAAATATCTCTTCCGCTTAGGGAAAAGAAAAAGGGGGAGAGGAGGAGGGAGATAATTAAGTCTGTTAAAACTTTGTCTCTTCTCCCTGCGACTTTTCACCGACAATGATAGATGTCCATCCAATTCCACGTATTATTCTTCAATTCGTTTTTGCAAATTGATAGACAAATTTCAATTACACTTTAACCCTTAAATAATTTAATGTAATAAATCACATGGATCAGCTGGAATTCAATGTCTTGCCACATTGAAGCAGCTTGACGTCTCCTCGTAGTAGGTGGTCCGAACAGTGGATAAAAATTAACGTTGAAAGGGCATCGCGCTCGTTAGCACGGTCAACCTGCTTCAACCTGTGCAGCCTGCAGTTAATTGGCGTTCACTCGGCGAGGAATACCGGTCTTTGACGGTTCCGTCTCGAGTAGCGACGGTCCGAGGGTTGTGTTTACACTGTGGACACAGTCAGCAAGGTCCGAAATGCCTGGACAATACGAAGTAGCGGCTGGGAGTATTCTGGACCCCCTCGCGATCCCGTTTTGAGATTTTAAAGCGCCCGCCGCGCTAATCGACCACCGCGATCGTCACCATTGTTCCGTCGCGCCCGAAAGTCCTTTTGCGCCCTTAATCGGCGCGAGACGTCGTGCATCCAGACGTTTTACGTTTCGAGCACCTACCGATTTTTTTTTGTTTTTTTCCCCCGTCCTTTCGTATCTCTCCTCTTTCTACGTCCCTGCCCCTCTCCTCTCCCGGATGCGACGGCGACGTATCCATTTTTACCGGTGCTCGAAGCTTTGCGTTTTCTCGAGTGGATTCCCCGCATCCCCCATCTCAACCTGCCATATTCCTCTAGCAGGTATGTGCGCGAGCATTCACCCCGGTACGAATGCAGGTGTGCGCTGGGCCGAATAAGCCCAGAAGAGGCGCGAGGATGATGGCAACTCGTGCGTCTCCAAGCTCCGTCGACGTCGTTGTCGTCGTCGTCGTCGTCGTCGTCACGAGACTGCCGCGGCAACCACTTCCGTCTGCGCGCTTCTCGTTTCTACGAACGTTTCGTCACGCTTGTCACATGCTTACCGCACGAAAGAGACCGCGGTCCGGTAAAAATATTGTGATGGTCGGTGACGTCGTTATTGTCCACCGCTCTGCGTTCGCCACTACCCATCGGGCGGCGAACGATGCAGAAACGTATGCGGTTTGCGCCGAAAAGAAAGCATGACGTACGACGTGATGTGGCGTGTTTATTTTATGTTAAAAAATTCCATTGTTAAAATACATTATACAAAAGTGTACTATGTAAGGTAAAAATTGTAACTTGTTTTGCGCAAACTCGGACTTGTTTCATGATAAGCGCGTTACGTAAGTGATTGCCATGTCATAGATTGGCCTACATAGGCACATTATCGCTGATAAAGATGCTTACGCGGTATTTTAATACAGACTTCCTTTGCAACTCAAGTTTTATTAAGACTAATAAATCTACAAATATGAAATGTTAGATAGGTCAGTTGAACTTTTTATCTATTAATTGGAAATCGCGCGCGAGAATCTTAATATCAACTACGTAGATAACAGCGTAATATCGACTAGGTGTAGGTAACTGACAATGTGTACTGATGACGTCAATTTAATATATATGCTGATTATCTATGTGTTTGTTATCTACGCTAATACAAATAATCTGTTATTTATCATATGTATCTGTGATGATCAAATGCTCATGCATAATTAGATATGCGTGCACATAATATCTCGATAATGCACTTACATAACAACTGTACGATAAATAAATCTCTGAAAGCTGGACGATTATTTAAATATTATTTTATATTTTTAATTTATACACATACTCTCCCTCCCTCCTCGCTTTCTTACATTTTATTACATAAGAATATTTGCTCTGCACGATAAACAGCAGTTCATCTGGCAGACTCTTTCGCAAATGTAAGCATGATAACGCATTAAGTTACAGTAAATGTATTCTTGATACTCACGGCATGAAGTCGTAACATTTCCGTTTCCAGATATTCGGTGTGGATTTTTGCATAAACTTCATTATTGCCATGTAAAAGTGAGATATGTGAAAATAAATATTTAAAAGATTATTTATATCGGCACGTTCATATATCTTGAGAACGACATATGAAATGCAGGAAGATAATATCGTGGCAAGATTATTATGTATATAATCTACCCAGCTTATCTCGAGTTGGTCGACGGAAAAAGATGACCTGTATGCCGTATATAATTCGGTGGGCGTTACTATGTTGAATGCACAGATATTCAGGACCACGGCCGTGATCGGCGGGGAGTCCCAGGCTACGCTACGGAATGTTTCTCGTTCGTTTGGACACGGGTTCACCAGGGGGACCTTATTATCCTCAGCCCATAAACATTAAGCGGCGTCTCGCCGACGAATGTCCGTTAGGAATGTTATCGTCTGCCACCGTATCGCGGCGAGAGGAGAGTTTCGATGTTGGCAGTCTACCGCCTGCTAATGCCTGGGACGTTCACACTGGATATCGCGCGAGTGAGACCTCGCTGTCGAGCCGTTAACGTAGACGAAACTGTCTGTGCTTGTGTAATCAATGCAGGCGCGCTTGGTTTTAATTATCGCCGAAGAAACGCGGCATGAATAACGCGCGCTCCCGCGACGACCGGTTTTAGAGAATGCCGCCTCGTTCGATTTCAAGGAGTCGTTTGTAAAAAGTGCGACCTTGAGAATAAAAACGTTAATTTATACAACGAAGTTAAGTAATTGAGCGCAAGTGATCATATCAATTTCGTTTTTTTGCTACGTTATATTTCAATAATTATTGACACAGCTGCTGCGTTCAGTGATAAACAAGGTTTCGTCTATTGAGCTTTTCATAATCATCGTGTAATTGCATTAAGTAGTTAATTGTATCGCAACGTACGTGTACGGAATACTGTGACATATAAAATCAAAGTGGCACTGTATAATGACACGGCAAATACAAGGCGGTGTTGTTTCACATTATAGAATCACCACTTATGTGCAAATTACTGAAAGTTAAAACGCAGTCGCTTCCATAGTTTAGTTTAGTGCTCGTGTGACCGCCGGGCAACTCGTATCGTACCGTCCTTTCGTAACGCTATTCACATGTCGAATTATATCTAGTTCCGGTGTCTGCACACATCACTCAAACATATTTTCCTGATACGTTTGTACGTCTGTTATCATCTCTCCTCGCTTGATATAAAAAGAAACTTATCGAGTATGCACACATCAAGTGAGTACAAAGTGTTTTAAAGTTTTATCTTCTAAAATTCTCACGAATCTCTTTATTAATTAAATTTAAAGGCAAGAAGGAATTTAACGTAAGTACTGAATTAACAGATTTCGATATATTTTTATTAAAAGTAGACTTTGTTTAATTATAAAAGATGTAGCGGGGAGGAGGAGTAAATTTGAAATATTGTATAGATATCAAGTGAATACTGTGAACTGCAATATCGCAGTATCAATTTCATAAATTGCAGTTTATACACTGTTAAGCATTAAATATAAAAAAAGCGGATTTATAATAATACTTTTTTAAAACAATTTGAAATATCGCGAACCGAGAATCCAGAGAATTGCATGTTAATATGTAAAACTTGAGTAAGAACATTATATCTCGTTTAGCAAACAAATATATTTACCAAACATCTGGTATTAAAATTGGAATCAAAATCGATATCGGAGACTGGATGTTGCTTAAATACGACATTGAAAATAAATTAAATTTGCGTCTGATGTATTCGTTATTTAAAACATACGGAAGAAATAATTGCGAAAATACCCTGTTTTCATACGTAGTAATGTTTTGAAATGGTTTTATTTTACGTGGCAACATTGTAATGTAATATAATGACACGTGCGACCGTTATCGGCAGGGAACAACATATTTATTAGCGGAATTGATTAAGGCAGCGGAGCCTCGAACTGTATTGACTTTACAAGTGAGTGACAGTGTGCTTCTCGCTCTGCGACCCGTAATCTCGTCTCGATAGGATAGGATTGCTCAGCGTCGAGACACAAATCTAGAAAGATATTCGTGGAAGAGGAATCTCAGTGTCGTGCATGAGTGCCGTTTCATCGGCGGCGTTGATTCGATAGTCGTCATCGAGCAGTTGAATGTGCGAGCGAGCGAGCGACACCAAATTGGTGATTTTATCGACACGGAAACAAAAGACGAAAACGCTGACACTGGCGCAACGATTCGAAACGTGATGGTCATCAATGTCATCGATTCATTAGCCGAGGTCACATTGAATACGCAGAACAATGGGTAAGAAAATATTCCACGTCTTATCGGCTTTTACGACTAGCGGTTAAAGACTAATATGATATTTTATCATCTTCTAATTTGCAGTGTACATTTATTAATGACGTGTGTGTCTAATATACGTGTGTATGATGTAATTTTTCTACACTTGAACGATACATTTTATCTACCTTGTAACAATTCTCCTCGTATACCTGATATCGTTGGTGTAAAATTTAATTTAACATTTAATTTAACACATAATTCGAAGCATAATTAGAAACCCACACGTGAGAAAAGATTTTTAGTATTATTAGTACGATACATTGTAGCGCAGAAATAATACATATTCATTACTTCTCTTACCTTTCCTTTTCTTACTTTCTCTCGCTTTCTCTCACATTTCGTGGCACGTGGTCGTTACGACAGTAATTTGTCATTTATTAGATTGCATGACGCAGGTTAACCAAACAATTTCATTTTTGTTAGTACATGTTATCATTTATGTGATTTTCGTAATCTTAACCTTAGAGATACGCGTGCGATACTTGTTCGCTATAATGCTATGCATTGCGAACATGATCATTTACGGTCTGAAAGTGAACATGGCGACGGCGATCATCGGTATGGTGAAAAAAAAGTCAGGTGTACCAGATTGGTCGGATGAGTGTCCGGAATTTGATGATCCTGCGAATGCCGCCGATATCGACGGTCCATTCGATTGGACGGCAAGCCAGCAAGGTCTGGTCATTAGTATATATTTTGCTGGTTATCTCATCGGTATGTTTCCATCGGGGTATTTGGCGGATCGGTAAGTGACGATGTTTTCATTTTAAACTGTTTCTCGTGTATAAAAACAGAATATCTTGTACGATACATTACTATACAATGCACTTGTATCATTTATAATGTCCTATTTATTCTTAGGACGTATGTATCTTGTTACAAATTTTACTAATGAAATATATCGGTGTAGGTTCGATACCAAGCTCGTATTGCTAATCTGCGTGCTGGCGAATGGAATTTTAACAATACTGGTGCCGGTCGCGGCGAGCGAACTGTACGTGCTGTATGTCGTAAGATTTTTGACCGGCCTTGTGAGCGCGGCGAATCTTCCTATAGTAAACGTTCTTCTGGGAACATGGGTCGTGTACGAGGAAAAAAGCACGTGGGTCGGCATCATATACGCCGGAACGTCGCTCGGCACCGTGATATCTATTCTTACCACGGGATTGATATTAAATTACGTGAGCTGGGAGGCTGTTTTTTACATTCATGGGACGTTACCATTGATCTGGTGCGTCATCTTTTATATATTTTTCGCCGGTTGTCCGGAGGAGCAAAAATACATAACGGAGCAGGAAAGATCGTTCATCGTGAACTCGTACGGCCATCGTACGCCCGGCTCCTCGAAGATGAAGATCCCGTGGAAAAGTATATTTACATCGGTACCATTTTTGGCTCTGGTCGTTACGAATACCTTAGGCAACTTTTGTTGGTACTTCTTGCTCACCCAGTTGCCGCTTTACATGAACAAGATATTGCGATTCGATATCAAGTCGGTGAGTCGGTTAACATACGTAATTTCTTCTTGTATTATGTCTCATAGACGTGCTACATATTTCAAGTTATTATATTAAATCCAGGAGATATTACGGGCAGAATAATATTATGGATAAAATAATATTTTGCGTTTCGCATATAGTAATATTATTTTATTCGGTGTGACGTGTGTAGTTACGTGAAATACATCTCAACTCTTTGCGTAAATTTTTCCTCAAATATTTTACAGAATGCTGCTATCGTTTGCACGCCGTATCTGGTGAATGCCTTCACTAATCCACTAATCGGAAGGGTTTTAGATTGGGGACGGAAAAAGGGATTCTGGTCGCAGACGGTCGCACGTAAAATTGCGGTATTCATAAGTACGTATTTCACATGGAATGCATAATAGCATAGCTTTATATATACAGGTACTTTCGGGTACTATACAGAAATATAAATCACATTTATAGTAGATTAAGAACAGTTCCGTAAACAACAGAATTTTTGTATTCATAAGAAAATGATGCGAGTACTGTATTTTTATAATGACCGTATTTTTGATAATCGTTTTATACACATATGTATTCTATTTTAATTGATTAAAAAAAACAAGATGGTATGTCTCTCTCTGCGTCAATGTAAAAGCACAACTTAAAGAACTAAATCTGGATATGATTTACATATTAATGAAAAATAGATGAAGCATTGTTTATAAATTTTCTGCGTGATTCGTGCGACAAAATTTCAAATGATATGCAACAATGTAATTTCTGTTACTGTTTCCAGCAATAATATGTACATATTTCTGTAATATTATGTGTCGAGATAATTCGTATGTCATTTTAAATGAAAAATCATTTAGTCACGTAACAGAGATTTTTGATATATTTAATATATTTCTCTTTCTTGCAGGCGCTATACCACCTAGTATCTTTCTCGTTATAATCGCGTACATTGGTTGCGATCGTACGACATCGACCGTACTGCTAACTTTGAGCATAGTAGTCTGTGGGGCTATATTTGTTGGCCATCTTTGTAATCAGAACGACTTGGCCCCGAATTACGCAGGAATTCTGATGGGCATTACAAATACTCCAGGCACTATTTCCGCCTTTATTCTGCCACCGATAGTTGGTGCTCTCGTAGCGGAAGGAGTAAGTTGAATACTTAGTATATCAAATAGAAAGACAAAAGGGAAAGGTGTCCGTTAAGACAACGTGACGTGATCGCCAATTTCTTGAATTTTTAATAAGTTATGCGCAGAGATTCTACTTTCTTGAAGTTTCATGAAAGATGAAATGATTTTAACCCGAGATAAGAAAGTTAAGCCGATATTCGCTCTAAGAGACACTGAATCCTAATTGCGTAATCAACTGCAAACTCAACTTTATTGTGTCACAAGATCTTTAAAATGAGAATTTTAATATTACGTTATTAGCTTGTGTAATGCCCGATGTAATTCTGACACATTTAATTTTGTAGCTTGTTTTAAAGTACAGCCGTAAAACTGACACATTCTCATATTGAGACGTCGTTTACTCCAGTATTAATATTCAACCATGTCTTCTGACAGCACACTATAGCGCGCTGGAGGATTGCATTCTGGATTACCATCGTCGCCCAGGTCTTCGCTTTCTTGGTATTTGCGGCTTTCGGATCAGCCAAAATTCAACCGTGGAATTATCCGGTACCGGATGTTGAAAACTGGGACGCCGACGAAGGGCAAGTGCAACAAGAACAGCGGCAGCAAGAAACGAAGACTTAAATTGAGACTGTCTTTGTACAGCCCTTGGTAAAGAATCAAGAGAAACATATTTTTTTTACAAGAATCACGCCTATTGCGCAGATAAGAAATGCTATCTAGATAAATTGAATAAGCACGATAAAATCATTTATCATATGAAATGAAATTAAGTTAGCGTTTTTTATATAACATTCCACAGTCACGCTTAAATCAATTCCTTTTTTATATTTTCATATGTCTGGTTATAAACCATTTTTGATGAATCTACTGAGATTAATTAGCGGATGTAATACTTAATTATACCACTTTATCTGTTTTATAATATGTATACGTATATTGGTAATATCTTGCAAAATATACATTTCAAGCAAAGGTTTTGTTGATAATACACTTTGCAGTATATTATCAGTGCCAAAGTTTTAACTGCCTTATACGGGCGATAATTTACAAAATATAGATTGTACAGTATATATGCAAGAAATTTAATAAATAACCGCATTCATTTTACAACTATTGCTATTATTTACTCGAAAGAAAGGACAAGAAATCTTGAACAAAGTTGCGAAAAATGTGTAATACAAATGTGAATCATCGAGTACTCCTCCTCGATGACCTCAACGATATGTCAGAGCTCGCGAAAGAAGTGCCGCTGCTTGACGCGTCAAGGTTTACGCTAAGATAATTAGGATTGCGAGACCACCCTTAATGATGGGTAACCAATTACGGACCACCCGGTACAAAAATTCTTCCTATCCTAATTAGATCTCCACGTCGCAAGACTGGCAGTCGGCGCGAGACGAACGAGAAAGAAACAAGATGACAGCGCGAAAGGGCCGCGCCGACACCAGCAGCGCGGAATATTTGCGACGGTTGAAATATTACGTTTGTAATCTATTTCCAGCCTACAGTCGCACGCTTCGACGATGCCGTGATGGGACGCGGTAACTGCTTTCCCCGCTAAACCATTTCCTCCTTCCTTTAAATATTACCGACAACCGCGACAGAGACCTGTGCGGTTCCGAATGAGAGAATATCGAGACCCTTCTACTTCTTCGAGAATTCTTTAAAAATTTCATTAGGAAAGATCGAACAAGATGAGTATTACACGCACGTTCGACGTTCTCTATCAAATTTTATTTTCGATCTAGAATATCATGGTAGTCTTAGAATATTTTTTAACTTAGAGATACCTTCACCTTCACCATCTTCTTTATAGAACTTCAACATTTTTAATCTGGTTTCTTTTTTGAAGTTATATATACGTAATCACGTCTCAATAAACGGAAGAAAATAATACGTTACGCATCTTACGAGATTACAAATTATTGAAATATTCTTTTAAGACGGTAATTCCTTCTTAAGAATTTATTAATCGCAAAATTGGTAGCATCTTCCGATAAGGCAAAGCACGAGTGGCAAGAGAATCGTTTGGACTTAATATTCTGGTAAACTTCGTTGAAGGGATGGGCCGATACGCGAGCCAGAGCTTCTCTTCATCGTGTTTACTAATTCATGAGATGAATAACTTAAGGATAGGCGCTCGCGGTATGAATAATGCTTATTCGTCTTCTTAACCCCTTGAGCAGGTGACCTGTTCCCTCTATCGACGTTTATGTGCGATCCAAACTCGATCGACCGATTTATCCTTTCGATCATTACTGACACGTTAAAACACCTGCCACCGTTTATGACGCCTGTATTGATCGATAAGATTTCCTCTCAGAACGCCACTCCACTCGAAACTCACAATTAATATTTGTCAATAATTATCTGATCGTCTGTAATTTGAATAAAGTATCTTTGTCGACTGTCTCTCCAGAAAACACTAGATAAAGTCGACCATCCTCTGTATTTCTTGTGGATTTTAGTTTCGCATCGTACAGATTAACGTGCAGAAGTGAATCGAATTAATCTGAATATTCTCGGATTTATTGCAAAACGCTCCGAATGGTCAGGCTCCAAGTACGATTCATATATTCTTATTAGGATGAATGTTTTCTATTTTCCCGATTTTTTAACGTGACTCGGCAACTACCGATTCGCCCGGAATCGGTTGTCCGGAAAGTCGGCAGACGTGGCAGCTAATTTACATAGTCCAATATTTTAGGAAGATTAATCGATGCATACAGTAGACGATCCGCGCACAACGGCGACGAGTCAGTGAAAAATTCCCTCCGTTTCCGAGTTATCTGTCAAAATGGCGATTAATCAAGCGGTAATTATAAGTTCCGAGGATCTTTCGTCGGGCCGTCGTCTCGTTTGCTTAGAGAAGCACGTAGTCCGTAGTTGCGGGTCGCTCGACAGAGGCGGTTAATCAATCCTGGAGCTCGTTACAGTCGGGCACTCCGGTACTTGAAGTGGCGTTAACGCATCCGGAGCGCCACTAAAATGTCAGGAATTGTTAATCTACCCCGTCGCGCGCGCATACACACACACACACGTGCTTAACGCACGCTTGATAACACACTGTCGTGGGAGAGGGAGAAGGCGTACCACCCCTCGCGCGGACGGGGTTGCCGCGAATAAACCCTTACTTTCCAGTTTCTGCCCTCTGACCTCTTCCTCTTCGCGCCACGAGCTCGCTCTTGCTCTTCCCGGAGAGAACCCTGGCAAGGAGACATTCGCCGCCAAGCAGCACCAGACCGCACCGTTATTACTAGCGATAAATCGCCACCTTTAATAAGAGCTCGCGCGACGTACGCCAGACGGAAGTCAGAAACGACGACGACGACGGCGACGGCGGCGGCGGCGGCGACGACGACGACGAAAGGATGGTGAATTTAAGGGGCAGATAGGACCGAGAGTACACTCTATTCAAACGATATCCGTTCAATTTTACCGAATCCTCGTGGCGATGGCCGACCATGGCGCGCTGTTCCTTTATTGTACGCCCACTCTCTGACGACTCGAACGATTTAATTTTGGACATCTCGCGCGATAAATATTTCGCATATAAAATACCTGCCGGCGTTACGAAAATTTATTACATTTACTGCAAGATAATATCGTAACGCCTATATTCGTTATATATCGTATATACGCTATCAACGTGGTATGGAGTTTTCGGTGCTTGATCCGAGGGATATGGTACGCTGATGATTTATTGCCGTGCGTTTTGATTGACGTTGTAACAAGATAGTAAACGTATTTCACATGGCGCCGCGTTTTAATCCTTTCCATCCCGATATCGACGTTACGCCATTATGTCGCGTCAAGCTTTTATCTTATAATATCAACAAGCAATTATCAACATGTTCAAATATTTTTCGAGATCTTGGACGGTACACAGCCAATCCGTTTAGCTTTCATCAGCTTGTGCAACTTTGCCTGCCTAGAAAGTTAACGCTACCATATTATGTAATAATGTTATTATTGTACTTCCATTATTCTTGGATTATACAATGATTGAGTGATTAATATATAATGGATTTATTTAGTATAGTTATGTAAATGCGAATAAAAAATTTCAATATTAATTGCAAAAAAAATTGTAAAATATACGACGTAGGTACATAGAAGCTAGAAGTACGTATAGTCGAGTAGTCAGCTTTTCTAGCTTTTACACTATTAAATTTGCAGTGTTAAATTTAACTCAATGAGTAGCCGGCACTGCTCCTGCTCAATATGTAGTTTAATTTAATTAAACAGTGGAGTTAAAAGAATTCATAAAATGGTTTCAATAAAAATGTAGTTGCTTTTTAACTATAATTTGTGTCAAAATAATAAATTTTACTACACATGATGGTTAAAAGAAACAACATATTGAGTAGGAGCAGTAGCGACTACTCATTGAGCCAGATTTGACTCACTGAGTCACTACGAATTAACAGTGCAAATTGTGAGATAACGTCCCATTAAAGATGCCCGCAAATGCCACGTATTTGCATTTGACTTAAGCAACGACACATGATACCATTTTTCCTACTGGATTGCTTGCGAGAGCCAATAAAGGTGTAGAGTTTTAGATCAGATGAATTAAGGCTGAATCCTAAATGGCTCTCGTAAGCAATCCAGTAGGGAAAAATAGTATCGTTTGCCGTTGGCTTTAGTCACCGAGCTTGTCGAAAGGGACAAGTTCGCGACACGCGAGCAAAGTATTATATTTTTGCAGTCCGTGTCACAAACGTGTCGACCGAAAGACTTCATTGTGACACTCACTCGGATCTCGGCCCATCTGACGGTTAGTTGGAGTATATCGAAATTCTTTTACGTGAACGGGAAGCGACATTAGCGAAGAAACGGTTGCACGTCTGTGAACGTGAGCTGGGTCACCCACCGGTGGTTGTTGCAGCAGGCAGTCGCCCAGCCATGGTTCTCGCGGAAAATCAAGACACTTTTTACTTACGGCCCTCACGGCGCATCGCGGCCGAGATCTGGCAGTACAGCGCGAAGGGAAGGAAACGGTGGAGAGGGGAGAAGGGCGATTTCGCTAAGAAACTCGATACGCCAGGTTGCGCAAGGGATGCGGAGGGATAACGCGGACGCGGCGTGGTAGTTCGAGGGAGCTCGTAACTCGGTCACCTCGTTTCCAATTGACCGGCTTCCTCTCTCGCGGCGTAGCCCGCAGTCCCGACTGCATTGTACGAACTTCCTGCAGATTTTAGCTGTCACCGCGTTTCATATTTTAAACGGACACGAAGGGGAGGGGAAGGGGCGAGGGGGTAGGGAAAGGGTGGACCGGTCCGTGTCGCTCCGGGACGATCGACGTGGACACGGAAAGCGTGGACCGCGAGCGCGCAAACCCTGCGTATAAATATGTATATTCGAAATATACACATAGGGCATAGGGCCAGCGCGCGGACCTATGTCAAACCGGCCAACCGCGCTGCAGCTTCGCGGATTCGTGACGGGGGGGGGGGGGAGCTTCAGAAGAGAGACCGCTTAATCGGCGGTCGTTGCTGCCGCATCGGATTTTGATTAGCGCGACCACGTCACGTTCGTCCGTTCGTTTGTCGGCGGATAAAAAAATGCATCGCACACGCCACGGCGCATTAACTCATACACGGCTGTATGTACACGCGCGCATGCATACGTATGTACGTGCATCCTCTCTGTCGGTCTGAGTCCATTTAACATTTTTCGCGTTCGCGTGCACAGACTCCGCTTTTGCCTTTAGTGATTTTTTAATCTCTGCTAATATACATACACACGCCCACGTACAAAAAGTGTTCTATTCAAATAAGTTTATGCGCTCGTGTTTCCGAATAGATAGCTCTGCAACGAATGTCATATTCGAATTTGTTATTCGAATGCCTGCTGCTTGATCAATTGCTACTTTCCACCCTTGTACTGCTTTAGCTGCCGGATTATCTTTTTGTCGACGAATTCTGAGCATCAAAGTATCCGTGTGCTCTTTGTGCATAGATTAGTTTTATGACTTTCAAAACGATATTATACATGCGCGTCTGCATATACAGCTGAAAAAAAAGCTCCTGTGTTTGATGCATACTTATATCCTCGCAGGGAAACATCGCTACGCCCCTCAATCCAGAATACAGATTC